ATGACCTCATATTTAACAGAGACAAGAGTTGAAAATGTGGGCGTAGTTTCAAATCTTTGGGGCCAGATATACAAGGAAGCCCAATTCGTCAAAAAGTTTGCATTTCGATTTTTCGGAGCTATGATTGTAGCTTGAAAAAGTCAATCACGAGGCTATTCTATGTCCTCCATAAATGAAAATGACGGTTGATAAATAAATAAATAACAATAATAATAATAAAATTAAATAAAGAGAGTTCGATATAAGATCATGTATTTGCAATTTTTTCCAAAATTTTATATTGTTGAAAAAATTAAATGATAACACGGAAATTTTAGTATTTTTTCCATCTTTACCGAAGTGCCAGAGATAATTTATTTTTTTTTAACGAAATTATGCCGGGTTTTGCCCTAATTTGAGCTATCTTGTGTCTCTTATTGATAGTTGTATTTGAAACATCACGTATGCATAATACAAACGGGTGTTCTATTTTCCTTTGGTAGGTATCTGTATATGTATATGTATATGTAGATTGCTTCTGGATTCCTCCTTCATCGGTTTTTGCTTAGTCGAAATTGCTGACGTTTCACCAATCATTCTGTTACCTTCTTCAGAGCTTGACTGAAACTGGCTCGTATTTTACTCTGTACCTGCTTATATATTGTTTGAGGGGGGCGCTAATGATGGGTCTCGGGTGACTGATTCCCAAATTGGTGACATGTAGAGACTTGAGTCGCGGTTACGATTGTTAGGTTGTTTATAGATTTCTATAGACTCTCGGATTTTTCGTTGGTAGAAGAACTGATTACAAGCAAGAATTTTAGTTTTATCAAATAAAATTTTATGCACGGTTTCATGAGTGTGTTCGGTAATAGCTGATGAGTTTATTTGCCTTAGTCGTAAAGCTCTTTCGTGTTCTTTGAGCCTAGTTGATATTTTTCGTCCGGTCTCTCCAATGTATTCTTTGCAGCATATGCATGGAATGCTGTAAACTCCCGGCTTCTCATATGGAATTTTATCTTTGACGGACCGCAGATGTTGAGAGATTTTTGGACAAGTGGTAAATCTGGTTTTGACGTTATACTTCTTTTGAATGTAAGGAAGGACCACAGTGGCAAGTGTAGGATTGCTTTCGGCCTCATTGCTATTGGAAGGTTGTGGTGAAGTGTATTTTTTGATGGAACGTTTAATATTTTTAATGTGGAAATTGTTAGAGAGAAGAGCAGAGGTCAAGTGTTTTAATTCTGTTTTCAGTGACTCGGGCTGAGATAGTTTTACGGCTCTGTACACAAGAGAGTTGATAACCGATGATTTGTGGGCCTGATGGTGATGTGACCATGGATTTAGGTATCGGTCTGTGTCCGTAGGTGACCCAATGTTAGGTCTGATTTTCTATTGATAGGAATATCTAAGAATGGCAGGTTATTATTAGCTTCCAACTCAGTGGTAAAACGTATGTTAGGGTGTATCGAGTTTAAATGTCTAAGAAAATATACTAGGGTTTCTTGACCATGAGGCCAAATAACAACTAAGCAAAAGCTGACGCATTAGGAATCCAGAAGTTTTGTAAAAAGCATTAGCCTGTGGAAGTTTCTTGGAAAAATTAGTTGTAAATTAATTAACAGTTTGCTCAATTTTTATTTTAAATAATGCGAAGCTTCCATTTTTTTTGTGGTTATTTTTTTTGGCCAAAAAATTAATTCTTATTAGTTTTATTTACTATTATTTAAAATTATTCTTTAAAATCTGATCTTGTCTTTTATGTTTGTGTACACATATGATATAGCGTTAAATGCATAAAGCATACCTTCCTCCCCAACATATTTTTGAATGATGCTTTAGATACTAGATAAACCTTATCGTTTACAAATCTTCTCCGTTGGTTGTTGATGAACTGAACTGATCAACAGGATGATTCGCGATACGTCAGCAAGTTCACTTCATCAACAACCCACATAGGAGGAATTCAGAAGATTTTTAAATAGTATTGAGGTAGCCTGCGGAAATTAGGTAAATCTTTTGGGTACGAAACAAAGTACTGCATAATAAATTTCAAATTCGCTCAAGAAACAATGTTTTTTGTCTCATATCAAACCTCTGGACTATAACATATTTTCAATTTCTTTTCTACTGGAAAAATCAGTTCAAATTTTAATTAAAATACACTCCTAAAAAACTGGGACTCTCAGAAAGTTCACTCCTGCCCAGTTTGCATGATAGTTTTTTTATATTACTAAAACTCTCTTATAGGTTTATTGTTGAAATTTTAATTTATTTTTATAATATTAAAAGGTGGGAAAAATTCCTATTATTTTAGGGTTGCGTCGGAAACTTTATGAATGCTCGTATGTTGTATATACTGGGAAATGTCAAGAACTTTGGTTTCTTTATCGTGTGTTTACGAATTCGATTGAGATAACTTTACTAACAATACAGCTGGGGGAAACTAACCAATTTTCTTACCCAGGCTATAACATATTTTTGACAGATTCAGTGAACATTCCAAATATCCTGACCGCAACTGTCACGAGTAATAGTGAATACAGATGAAATAATTATATACGGGCAACACTGTCTTTTACAAGTTTTCAAAATGAACTTTGCTGATCATGTTAGAATTAAAATGAGAGATGTGTGAAATTTTCACACTCATGTTTGTATTCCATACTTCTGCTAACAAAAAAAAGAATAGAACATTTTACTCGCATTTATTGCTTGGTGAAGAGGCAGTTTTAATTCGAGGGTTTTGGTTTAAAGTGTTTGGTTTTCTAACCATAGGTCCACCATTTCAATTTAAACGTTCAATTTCGCTGGAGACCATTAATTGGGAATCGATCAAAAGGAAACCTGTTAACGTGAGATCAGAGAGGTAAAGCAATTTTAAAAGTAAAACCGCTCGTTGGCAACATTTCGCCAATGCTGCGCCAAGTGCTACGGGATTTCGATGCAATGAATGTCGCCTTTGTTATCTTATAATAATTCTCTTATAAAATATTTTTGCATTTAAGATTTTTAATTAAAATTTCGCATTTGGACAAATCAAGTTGATATTAAGTAAAGAGGGAGGTTGATGCTTAATAAATATATAGTATTTATTTGTATCTTCCTATTCCTCGTTTTGACATATGGATGACTTTGGCCATATTTGTAGTTTATTTTTGCAAACAATTACGTACAAAATGGTGTTTTATTTAATATAATATTTTATATTTTATAAATGGTTTAAGTATAACGTCGTTTTTCAGAAAAAACACCTCCTTAAAACTCTGTATAGAAAATCGTGAGCCACTAGTAAATAACAAATTTTTTTAAACTCAGCTGGTTCCGTACTGGCACTAGCTTCATGGAGTTTACATCAACCCTTACCTACCATTTTGAGCTTCTGCAATTGCTGGAGCATGCCTAAACAATATCAGAAAACCAAAAAATATTGCCCACAGATAAACCAAAGACAATCCTAAATATAATTATGCCATGCAGTCCGAAAGTTAGAATTTTGCACGGGAAAAAAATGTTGTTTTGGAAAAATCTTCAGAATCATTGTATTCAAGCAGACATCGAAAGGGCTAGCGTACTGTAGGTACTTATATTTTGAAACTTCTTGTGGGAGAATTGCATTTTAGTCTCGCGGATAATAATAATAAAAAAGTTGATGAATGTTATTAGACCCAAATACAAAACAGGTTTAGATCAGTCCATCTAATAGGAAACATTTAAACCGAAATGAAATAAATCAAAGGCATACTCTTTGAGCTGTGACAATTATAATGCAGTTTGCATGGGGAAATCGGGCGGAGAGATGGCCGATAGAGCCGAATCCGGTCAAATTTATTGGCAATACTTGCTCAAGGATACGGTAAATTAATGGTATTTAAACGACTGGTGTTAAATAGTAAAACGGGCATAGTGGAAACTATGATACTCTCCCAACCCCGATCCAAGATCTGCCATAAGAGCCACCAGGATTGCCCACTTTTACGTTCCGGTGGAATTATGTTGGCAAGCTTTAGAATGAGTGAGTATTATGTTACTATATATTTCTGATGATCCTATTTAGAAAAGAATAGTTAGAATGTAGCATGAACTAGAAATTCTCGTAGTTGGTGTAGTTATTCGATTCAAATACCGCGGAATAATAATGTGTGTTGAAGTTTTGAATGTAGCCTTGGTGATTTGAGAGAAAAAAATAGTTGTACTGGAGGGCCAATTTCTTTTGTAATTTGGCTTTATTGAACTAATGGCGTTGAATTTGTGAAATTAGCAATGCCTCTATCTACCAATAGAGAACCTTTTATCGTGTTATCAGATAAGACCGCTGAATCATTTTTTTCGTATTTGCCACTATGGTACTCAAAGTTTTTAACACCAATGATGAAATAAATTAATTTTTGGAGATTAAATTTGGGTGATTAGCAATGTTGTCTTGCATCGTTAGTGAACAAAATAATAAATTCACTGAAACTTATTAAACGCGAGGTTATAGGATTTGACAGGCCGGTAATATGGTAAACCATATTACCTTGCTTATCATTCTCATTATCTCGAAAGATCCAGGGGCACAAGCATTTTCTACTAAATTATAATCATTATAATCATTATAACGACCATTTTTGTCGTTTGCCCTTTTACTGTCATTTCAATGACTCCTTGTATACAAAAAACAGAACTGTTCTTTGTCACAAAATAATATTTAATTATTTAATTTAATTTTTTAAATTTAATTAATTAAATATTATCATAGTGCAAATGAAAAGTTTGTTTTCTAAGACTTTTACTTCTACCTCGGTTTGAAACTTAAAGAGACTCGAGTTTCATCGTTCATCCTGTCGTCTCTTCAATTGACAACAGAGCAATGCAACGCGATGTAACGGAACCGTTATTATATGATAACGACAAAGCATTATTCTCCTTTATTCTCCTCCCTCCCGGTTGCAAACAGTGCGAAAGTGTTAATAAAAAAGAAAAGAGCCACCTTAATGATAGCCACTTCGGTTGAATTTCAGTTGCGGTAGCCACAGAGTGGGAGTGGCGTCGGTATATCGCGTCGTCTGGCGACGCGACGCAACCTCGCATAATCGCGCTCTCCCTCTCCAGTTTCCACGCGAGGCTCTAAACAAGAGGACGTCATATGATAGCCGATGACCGGATGTCACTGGTTTCGGCGGTGAAATAGGAGCGCGAAATCGAGTGAGCCGCGGATTTAATTTGAAATACACGAATGCTGACGTCCTGTCACGACGCCGTCAGGAATATGTGTTACGAAAATACGGACTGAAAGGGGGATCGGGACGTTATCAGTGCGTTACGCTGATTGATTTGTGATTCGAAAAGTGTCAAAAACTGAGCGTATTCAGACATGGAGCAATTTAATGGCATATGTCGCGGGATCATGCTGTTGCTGCTGATCGTTTCTGGTTCGTTAACTTTTTTATACCTCCCTAATTCGCAATCGTCTAATTAGATCTGTAAGGTCGCGAATTGCCGTTATTACTGTTTTGTTGTTGAATTCCGTTTTACTGAGACGACCGATATCTGTGACTATATATAATATATATGACAATTGCTTTTTATATTTCCTGTGGAGGTATATTACATATATTATGCCAGAGATTTTTGTTAAATGGATTTTGAGAACTTAACTATAGAGGTTACTCCAGAGATTTGCCTATTTAATCTAGCCTTATAACTCACTAAAACTAAGACATTATAGCACAGGCGTCGTTAGACCTAGTAAGCGTACTTCAGTATAAACTTGAAAACTTGGAAAACTTGTATACACATTGTGGATCAATTGCTTCATTCTATAGAAAGGAGAGTTAAGTTTTTAAAGAGCTGAAAAGATTGATCTAGTAAGCTTACTTCATCGCAAATTTGAAAACTTGGAAAATTATCTTGTCTTATACATTGTGAATATATCAATTCGATAGGAAGGAGAGATAAACTTTTAAGCCGCTGATTAGGGATGATATAATTTTGCTTCCTGAGCCTGGTTATCTAAGTGGTTTTCAAGAAAATAGTATTTATTAACTACTACATAGTACATTCTAGAAATAATTTAGTTTTAACGTCGCAATTTGGAGATGGCTGTATGTACTCTGAGATATCATCATCAATATTAAGCTCATTCTTGCAATTTTATTGGGTTATATTAAATTTGGTAACTTTTATTGTAACTGGTATTGAAAAATCCTGTTTTGGTTTGGAAAAATACACTTAATATAAAGGTGTCAAAAAATTTAGTACTTTTAAAGTGTCTTGTTTTTTCAACCTGCATGTTTTACTTTTTTGTTTCAAATAGACATCGAAGAAATTGAATATTAACCGATAATTTTGTTGGACATCTCTTGCAACTTTAAGTTTCTGTTACTACTATTACAGCTTTAAAGAGTACTTATCTGTTATTTTCCAATGTGCATTAATGATTTTTATTCAAGTTATTCAAATAAAATATTTCTCGTATCTTAGGTTTTGCTTCTTTGATTATAGTTCTAGAAAAACGCACAGAGCTTTAAAACAATTAACATAATTATACTGAGTTTATCGGATTGCTGTAGAACGCAAACCCAAAGGCAAATAAAAATCGATTATGCCTTTCTAATCGAATTTATATCGAGGTGGGTGAGAAAATATCTGGAAGTGATAAAATTTCCTATCATTTTTCATGAGGATGATTGATGAAAACGCTCATTTCAAAACTTTCAAAACGTGAGCAACTCTCGAGATGCGCTCAGATGCTATAATGAGCGGAATATATGAGACGGAAACGTTAACCATCTCTAAAATTTAATTTCTTTCGATTTGGATTTTTCGCAGATAAATGTAACCATCGTAAGTTTAACGCAATTTCTGCCAGTTCATTTGCATGTCCGAATTTGAGTAAGCAAATACTTACTATTTGCTTTGTGCTAACAACGGATATGCCACATTGTATTTTATATCAAATATTGATCTTATTGATATTATACTACGAAGAAAAAGTTTCGTTTTCAGGATATAGGGGTCTGTACTCGGATATGCAATATGCATTTGAAATGATAAACTTCCTTAATAGATGAAGTTAGATGTTCCGTCGTTATACGCGTGCTTCTTGAAATATTTGAACTTGTGCAGTTTCTAATTGCTAATTAAATGCTAAAAATCTATGTTTGATTTGAAAATTCTTAGTTACATTGATATCGTTGTCATACAGCCATAACTATTGTTCTCATAATCGAATGGATTGTTGATATGTCAATGTTAAAAGTGCAGGTATGATTTTTTATCAGCAGACGTTTTAGTATCCTTGTAAAACCATAGTTAGTTTTTTTGTTTAATAAAGGAATTTTATTAGGTAGTAAAAAATAATATGTTACGCAATAAATTTGATTAATGACTGAAGAACATTATCAATGTGTTGCACCCTGTATTTTTTTCTATTTTTTGGTGCATGAGTCGACGTTTGTGAGTTCTGACATCTCGTTACACATCACTCAGTAGATGTATTCGTGCTGTTTTCCACAAATGTTTCCAAAAAAAACGGTCGTATTAAAAGGATAGTCCATTCTTGTCAAATCAATCTCATGACTAAAAAGTTGTTGGATAATATGTCCTACATCCATTAGTTTTCAGTACATTTGTGTAAAACCGTTTAGTGTATAATTGGTTATTTAAGAGGTGTTGAAAAAATAATCGCAATCAAAATATATTGCATCGAAAGTTAATAAAACAAAATGTCCCGAACAGAGTTAATCTAGGGGTGCGTAATTATGATAAATTAAAATTTTCCTTCTAAAATTAACTCGCCCAGGTTGTGAATATCCTTTATTAGGGCGTGCGATTAAATCTCAATGGAAGGGAATGATAAATTCCTTTTATCTAATGATCCGCGCCGGCTACAACTGCTGCTACAGATTACTTCGCCTTTTTATATCCGCTTTATTGTAAATTTCTTCCTATTGGATTATATGGTTGACTTTTTCACCGGCAGGGAACTTTTGCTATTGTAATTTTCTTCAGTTTTAAAAAGAAATTCGTTCGAAATTTATATTAGTTGGTTCCTTATTATAATGTGAGTTTATATATTTCATTTATTTATTATCATATTTACTTTCTTCCATTTGTCCTTTTTTTCAGTTCTAAACAGAAGTTTTTCTTATTTATATTAGTTTTTTCCTCAATGTAATGTGAGTGTTGACCAATATTTTCCTGGATTTCTGTTTTATCCTTCTTTGCATCCGCCCCAAGTTCCAATTGGTTAACTTAAAGCTTTTGTAAGTGGTGGGATTTTAATCGATTTGAAGCATAAAGTTGGAAAACTTCAAACTACATGCAGTGAACATATGATGTTAATTAGTTCTGTTCCTTGCCGTTGTCTCGCTGATCTTTGGCATTTTAAAATTGAAACTTCTGTTTTAAAATTTTTGAAAAATATACACACATACCTTTGGGGAAATAAACAAAAATTAAAACGAAATCAAAGCATTTCATATTCATAATTTTAATTACAACTTATTAAAAATAAATTTAACAAAATATCATAACATATCCATTAATATCAAACAAGGACTTTTTATGTACATACTATATTGCAATATGTCAACATTTGCATACATACGAGTAAATAATATAAAATACAGTTGTTAGTTTTTCAGAAACTCAGAGGTCAACGTTCATGCATGTTAATTGATTTTTATAAATTCAGATTTACATTTTAGTAACGGTTTAAATACATCTATGGCTATACAGTTGTTTACAATGAGAAAAATGGTTTCTATATAAGTTTCTCAAACTTGCACAGGCTTTCGAGAGGTTTTTATATTGGACCCTCCAATCTCAGGTTCTTCAGCCTGGTTTTCAGAATCCGCAGTATATAGATTTGCTTGTAGTAGCCGTTCAATACAGTCGATTATGGTGAGTTCTTCAATCTCTGTTTCTACATTGCTGTCGATTAATGAAAATTAATTCAGGCCCAAACAATATTATTTAAGGTAGGAAAAAATTGGGCAAGGGGATATTATCTTTTTCATCCTATATTGCACTGAAATTCAGCCTTAAAAAAAGCATTTCTTTATTGGTTTTCCGTGATCAATTTCGACATGCTTTCGAAATCCATATTAGAACGTTGGTTAGAGTAATAGCTTTTCGACTCGGTGTAGTGAATAACCACTATCTACATATATTAAAAGTAAAAGACACTTCTGTAGAGCATCTTGAATTTGTGAATAATGCTTTGGTCTAAAAGTTGGCAGCGTGATATGGTGTTTGGCCGAAGAAAAATGAGTTTCATATTATCCCGTGCAATTTTAGAATGCTATGTTTTTTTATCTAAAAACAATACGACTTTCCTATTTTCCCTCTCCATGTTATAATCAAAATCGCGTGATATCTCCTCCATTCCAGTGAAGAGGTGACTTATCGAAGTACGCTCTTTGATAACATTAAAGATTTTTGCTTTTACACATGGTTTCCACATAAAGTAAATGTGTTTTCGAGTCTACCAGTTGTTTTTTCAAAACTCTTACCATATTTCAAAGCATATGTCTTTGTCTGCCATAGTAGAGTCCAGTCCCATCTGTATTGTAAATATTTTTCAAGCTTACATTTTTGATATTGTCAACAACTTTTTCTTAAAAGTATCCACATCTGCGATATTAACATCCGCACATTCTAGACAGATTGCTTTACAGGTAATATCGTGCCGACGACGACATCTATCTAACCATCCATTTGAAGCTTTGAAGCACTTAATCCTAGGTTCTTCAAGGGCTTTTGCGTTAATTATGATTCCCGATATTGGTACTCGTTTCGATCGTTACAAAACCAAATGAAAACTGTCTGCCCTCAGTACTTCGATTTCAAGAAATTTTGGATCGCAAATGTTACTTTGTCGGTACAAATATTTAACTTCTTCTGTCCATTTGTAACAACACGGTAACTTTACTCTTCCCCGCAAAATAAAACTTTTCTACCAATTGCTCAAGTGCTCAAACCACATTTTTATCTTTAACAGAAAGACCGGTTCTTGAAGCCATACTCAAAATATTAAATTAATCGAGAATGTTAACCCACTTCTATTAACTTGAACCAATTAAAGCGTAATGTAGGTATATAAATGTAAACTGTAATCGGGATGAAGCATTTTTATTATGTTAAGTGTGGTCATATGAAAATATGCCATTTACATCGGGTAGTCCAGCTACTCCCGAACATTTTATTTGCTCTTTATTGAGGCTGGTTTCTAAATTGTCGTACATAAGCAAATTCCCATGATGAGCGCTAGCCGTTTTTCAGAAGGGTCCTTCTTCACACAGGTCAAAATAAATATTTTTTCTAAAAGATTCAAACACCAGTTACCTAGTTCATCAACAAATCTTAGTTCATTAATTATCTGGTCCATCCTCTAGTTTTAGTCGATTGTTCTTCTCCACCAATCTTT